CCGGACGCCCGCCCCAGGCCCAGCGCCTGCACCAGGTCATCGCTGAGCCCGCTCTTCAGCGTCCGTCTCACTGCGGGAAGAGGAGAGCATGGCACTGGCAGCACGAGCAGCGCTGGCTGCCAGGGTCACCACACACTGGGTGCCTGCCCAGACGTGGGGGGCCCGGCATGCCGAGGAGGGGAAGGGTGGCATTAGGGTGCAGCGTCATGGTCTGGTCTCAGGGTACCTCCTGCTGTGGCCTGGTGGGCTCAACATGGGAGGTCAGGAGTAGCCAGCGGGGAAGGAGCCAGGCAGGGCAGAGACGGGACAAGGCATGGGGACAGAGCACGGGAACAGAGACGCAGAGATGGGACAGGACATGGGGACAGGGACACAAAGATGCGAAAGAGCTTCTGGGCAGGGCCGCAGGACAGAGTACAGGGACAGGGCCACAGAGGTGGGAAACCTTGAGCGTGCAAGCCTTGAGCCTGGCAGCAGTCCTCGCTCCTTCTGGCAGGGTCCCCCTGGGTGTCCCGGTACAGGAGGGATCGCGCTGTCCCTGGGAGGGATGATGGTGCCTGCACGCCACAGGGCTGGCTGCTGCGGGCCGAGTGCTTGCCCCCAGCAGCAGGGCTGGGGATGCAGCAGGAGGGATGCTGTCTTGGCCCAGGGAGGAGTACCACATAGCCCCGGCCTCTTGGGGCTCTGCAGGGGATGGGGACACTGGGCTGTCCAGGCAAGACCAACCCCAGGACTTCTCCGGCAGCACTCAGGTCCTGCTCAGGACCACAGTGATGGCTTCCCCAGGGATGCTGGAGGGAGCATCACCCCTTCCCTCGTGCCACAGACCTTGGTACTGCCTGCTTCGGTCCATGGCATCAAAAGCCTCCAGCATCCCAGCGCAGCAGCGGGGTGACCCAGGCGCAGGGACAAGGGATGCCAGCAGCATGTCAGATCACTTTATTGCCACAGTGGCCACGGGCCAGACCCCGTTCCCAGAGGGGGTCTAAGGTCCAGCCCCTTGACCCCTCTAATACTGTTGAGAAGTTGGCCTCCACGCCCATGCACAGGCGCTGAGCATCCTCCATCCCGGCCACCATGGAGCAGCTCCAGGGCATCACTCCCATCCTGCTGCCCGCAACTCCGGGAGCTGGAGGCCGGCGGAAAAGCAAAAGGCGAGGCCAAGGGTGCAGAGCGTGCCAGTCCTGGCGCAGCAGGGGCTGACACCCAGTCCTGG